CAGCCAGCACCTACAACATCAACTATAGGCTACTGTGTGGCTGGTTGACCAACTAACCTTTCTCTAGCCTGGTAGCACTTGCTGCCAGCTCCAGACACCCACGTCTTGCCTGAGGCATTGGGCCAAGGGATTGCTACTTGGCACAGTGCTCAGGGTGTCCTGTTAATGGGCGGAGTTGTGGAGCCATTCTGGAAGGAATGCCAGGCTTTGCATAAGACGATCTCGGGACAGTTTGGACTCTAAGCTCAGCTATCAGTTAAGGGGTGACTTCAAGCCACTTTGTCCCATAGAACACCAGCTGCCCTTGTCTGAAGGGCAGAGGGGGGACAGCAGTGGCCACAGTTGCCCCCCAATTCCCTGACCATTGTACGCTTATCGACTGAGCCAGAAGCAGCTTCTCTGTCCCCGTGGTATGGAGAGCTGTAGAGTTGCCATGCCTCCCCACCCCAAGGCCTGTGTAAACATACTGTCTGTCTCCACACAGAAGGCACAGGGGAGGAGGAAGTGGCCATGTTGACCGGCCCCGGGCTAGCTCTCCCCAGCTGCCAAATGGGTCAGTGGCTGTGAGCGTCCCTGTGTTTGTAACAGGGATCCCAGGGATCCCGGGCTCCTGGACACCTCTGGAACTGGCTTTGCAAGGCCAAATGCTTTGCAGATTAAATTTCCGGAGAGCGAACAGCTGAGCCTCCCGGAGCCACTTCTTACTGTGGCCGTCAAGGGGCTCCCATGTGTGCGTGCATTGTTCTCCTGGATGGAAGGAGGAGAGTGGCCGGAGGGTGAGCAGGGTGAGCGTGGTCGGGTGCCCCCTCCCTCCTGTGGACCACATCAGCCACTGGGGCAGCTGGTGCTGCTTGGATTTTCTAGGACGTGCCTGGAACAGAATTGCATGATAGGGTTTCAGGGTAGCTTTTCTCCCCCACTTTATATAATGTTTTTGAAGAGTTGCCATGGAGAACTGTTGGAAGCAGAGGGGCTGATGAATGTCTTTGGTCATGTCAGATGAGGACAAGATTACCCAAGTGAGGGAGAGTGTCCCTCCCGTCAGCAAGACTGTGGGGTTCCAGGGCTGCCCTGCCAGAAAGCCAGGGCCATAATCACAAACAGACTGCGATCACTTACAACCAGAAGTATTACTTTAGACTCTTGGCTTTGATGGGGAAGAATGCAGTTTTCCTTGGCCCCTCCCCCACCCTCTCAAGTTAAACAAGATCTGTGAAAGCCATAGCTCTGGGCCTTAAAGAGGCCAGAATTCAAGCCAAGGAGAGGTCTCACAGGCTCAGCTTTGGAGTGCTCCACTGAGCTCCATTGGTGTTGGGGCTGGGGATAGCCCTGAGCCATTTGCTGTCCCCATCCCTCGTTGAGGTGAACTGGGGAACCCTGCTTTCCCATAGTCCGGACGTCCTGTCTGCCTGGGGCTTCCTCGCCGTCCGAGGGTCCTGGCGTTTTCTCTGCACGTGTGCCGTACACTCTCACAGTGTGTGGTGGTGGTGGTGGGGGTCAGATGGCTGTCTCAAAGAGTATGGCTTAGCACACTGGGATGTTGGGGTCTAGCCTAGCCCTAGGGGTAGGAGCTGTTTCTCATCCTTTCCCCCTACTCAACTGGTACTTCCCAGGCAAGCCTCAATGGACTGTGGCACTCCTGGGCATCAGGGTAACAGAGCCATGGCTTAGTGTGGCATTCTACCCGGGCACTCAGAGCAGAACTTGGGAGCAATGTGGACCTTGTTGCCAGCGGAGTGGGATTATAACCAGCTGTCACTGGAGAAGAGAGAGGGGGTGTAGCTGTCCTCTGGGCTTTGTGGAAGGAGAATTAGCATCCAGGGGACCTGCCTCATTGGCTCCCTGGTAAGTAAGTAGTCACCTTCTTTTGCATCCAGGCCTCACTGCACAAGCAAATGCAAACTTACCTCCTTGGATCTGGAGGGGCCTCCTCTTACAGTGGGGTCAAAGCCTCTTGGCATGGACACAGCAACCAGGAATATTTTAGACCTCAGGCCAGTCTGCCTCAGTGTCCCCACCTCTGAAACCCCATGAGGATAGCCCACCACCTTACCTTGTAGATGTGGTCCCCAGGCAGGAAACTGGATGAGATCTAAGCCAACAGGGCAGGTTCTGATCCAGAAGCCAAGGCAGGAGGAAGAGAAAGAGACAGTGCGTTCCAATTTAAGAGACAGGCTAAGCTGATGACATGGTGTTACCAATATTGCTTTTTTTTCTGTGAAATAAAATTGTAGCATGCAGTGGCTGAGGGCTAGGTGTTCAGATGGGAGTGTCTTGGGCCTGTCATTGCCAAAACACATCTAGAGGAAAGGGATGCTCATAGGCCATCTCTGGCCCCCCACATAGCCTAGCTCTGCTCCCCACTTTCTGCTGTTAGACTCTAGCCAGGCTTGCTCACTAAAGAATATTTCTAGAATGGAGTTGCCCCTCCAGGAGTCCAGAATTGGTAGGATGATTTGGCAGCTGAGAGATTAGAATATGGAGGACAGTCTAGGTCAGTTACCTCCCCAGCCTCCTCCCCCATCGCTGCCTGAAGAGAAGGTATTGAGCAGCCTTATTCAGAATGGAGAAACCCAAAGCCAAGCAGACAAGCAAAGCAAGCCTTGTGACACCATCATTAATTCATTCACTAATGGACATTTATCTCCGTCTGTGTGTGCCAGGAACAGAGGTGTGTTAGAAAGGTGTGTTAGAAATTCTTCCTGGAAGAATTAAAGAGGAACTGAGTTACCCATCATCACTCAGCTGAGGGGACCTTCTGCAGGCCCCTCCCTTCTAGTGTTGGTATTGGAAGACCTGCCTTTCTCATTGTTAATCCTGTGTGTGTGTGTTTATCACCACTGCCTGGCCAATCATTGTGGAGAGTCTGTAGTGAGCTGATTTGAGGTGATCTTTCTCTGCCTTAGACACATTCTCGGGAACCAAGGAAATGAGTGGGTACCTACCCCTGGAGATAGGGAAGTGAAGTGGAGCAGGAAGTTCAGAGCCAGCTGATGGGGGGGTCAAGGAACTTCACAGAGGGGGTGGCTTGAAGGACAGGGTCCAAACACAGTGACAACCAGGGAAACCAGCACAAATGGGGACTCAGTCCCACAGGGTCAAAAAGAACAAGAAAGAAAGCATTTCCTCACAAGGGCCCATGAAATTCGAGTCAAGTGCTCAGCTCCCACGATACTGAGTAGCCAGCCTGGGACCAGCAAGCCTGGGACCAGTGTGCAGCTAGCTGTCTGCTCCAGTCTCCTGTGTGTAAAACCGAGAAAGTATTTTCTGTCTGTTTTATTGTTTTATTTATTATTTATTTATTTATTTATTATTTATTTTTATGTTTTTTGTTTTTTTCGGGACGGGGTTTCTCTGTATAGTTTTGGTGCCTGTCCTGGAACTCACTTTGTAGACCAGGCTGGCCTCAAACTCACAGAGATCCACCTGACTCTGCCTCCTGAGTGCTGGGATTAAAGGCGTGCACCACCACCACCACCACCACCACCACCTGGCAAGAAGGTATTTTAATCCCGTGTGGTTATAGAGAAAGAAAATCGCCAAGTGGCAGTTACTTCCTGTCCTTTTTCTCTGACAGGCAGGGGCAGGCAACCTTTGAGTCCCTGGCAGTATGTAACATCTGGGGTGGGGGACAGAGGAGTCTATTGGATTCCTGAATTTGCCTCTATCCTCCAGCAACCTAGGAACTTTCCAAAGCAAGTTTCCCACCTATTACCTTAGAGCATCCCTTGGGAAGGAGGGCAGGTAGTCTGTCCCCAGTTTTCAAAAGAAAGTAGTTTGTAGGCCGTCAGTGTTTTCCGGGGAGTAGTTTGTACACGCGTGTGCTGGACGCTTGCTGAATAGCTCTTTACCCCCTCACGTTCCTTTTGCTCCATATTAGGTCTAGGATAAGTTCACTGGGGCTCCTGGAGTGTCAGTACCTTGGTTGATCACCTTTAAGAGAAAACTCTGACCTAATCAAGTATCTTGCTGAACTTCAGGCATGGCTGTGTGGATTTTTCCAGTTATCTCCTATTTGGGGTGGTGGTTTTTCATTCAGTGGATGGCACAGGAAAACATCTCTCTGAAAAGCATATTTACATTTTCTTAAGTTGTCAGCTTAAGCAAACACTAGCCCAGGTGTTGCTCGGGTATCTTGATGGGCTTGGGGAACTGCGGAGTTCAAAGGACCCCAAGTGGGACACTTCTCCCGGGCACCCCCCCTGGCCCACAGCATACTCAGGTGACACCCATGGCTCCCAATTTCCAACTGGGAAAGGAGCCTGGAAAAGCATGGGCATTGGTGGTGGCTGCTCCCCACACCACGCAGAGGAATCCACGCTGTCAGAAAGCTGTTGACGTCAGGTGGTGCAGAATTTTTGCAAGCCCTCTATTTAAAATTCCCCAGCAATTAAATCAGGAGCCTTTGGAGGGAGGAATGCCCTCAACAAATTGTAGAGTGGGTTTGTTTTGTTTATGGAGACAGTCTTTAAAGTCGCAATTGCCCCCGTTTATTTTTGCCCAATTGAAGAGGGGCTGGCCTCAGCTGGGAGGGCCGTTACGGCTCTCAGTAGAAACCTACGCAATTCTAAGGCCAGGAAACTTCGGTTTTTAGCAAAAGAGAAGAGGGGATTCATATACACATGCATCCACGTGTCCTCCTTAGGTACTGGAGAGAGCGCTCACTGTTCTTCCAGAGGACCTGAGCCCAAGTTCCATTCCCAGCCCATATATCAGATGGCTCACAACCACTTGTAACCCCAGTTCCAGGGTATCTGATACCCTCTTCAGGCCTCCAAAGGCACCTGCATGCACAAGACACACACCCACACAGACACACACTCAGAAACTCTTTAAAAAAAAAAAATAAACAAAAAACTGAAATCACCAGACCGTCTGGGGACTAGATCAGTAGTAGCTTACTTAGTGAAATCTTGGGTTCAATGCCCACCAACCTCCCAAAATGAACAGTCACCATGTAGTCCCACAGCCTCAGGTCCACACTGCCAAAACAAAGCCAGTCATGGTGCTAGGCATTTTATTTTCTTTTTTTCCCTCCTCTCCTCATGCTCCTGGCAGGTCATGTGATTTCCGATTCCCTTCCCTGCTCACAAGTGCCTCAACTGTCAGCTTCTTCCTCCAGCTACATTGACAAGCAGGTATCTGCTCTAATCAATATGAGGTGTGTTCCCTGAAACCATCATCCACCCTCCGGCATGGTCCTTGCCGTGGTCTTGGCAGGACAGGGAAGTTATACACGACGCTTCTGTTTCACACAGGGGGCATGGTTGGCCCCTTTCTGTTCTGTGGTTTGATGTTCCACAGTGACTGACTCTCTCTCCAGATCTCCCCAGTCACTGAGTGAACAGGATACAGCCAACCTCCTCTGTTGGAGCAGAGCTCACGTTCACTCTCAGCCTCCATTTCCCCCGTTTGGGGCTGGTGATCCCAGTTGTTTATTCATAGTAGAGGTAGGTTTCCTCCTTGAAGTTGGAAATACAAGGATGAATTACTTTATATACAGCCACACAGTCCCGAATGCTCAGTTAGTGATGAATCATGTGTACTGTGGTGACCCCATAAGGTTAGGACAGAACTGAAGAATTCCCATCTCCTAATGATGCCAGAGTTATCGTAAAGTCGTAGTGGAAAACGTAACTCGTGTTTGCTGATGTAAATAAGCCTGGGCTGCTGTGATCGCCACATTCAGGAGGCAGAGCCCCGTGGGTCACAGATTCAAGGACAGCCTGAGCCACATGCTGAGACTCTGTCTTAAAGAAACAAAAAGCCAACAATTTTATTATTTATTTAGAACAGGGTCTCACTATGAAGCCCCAACTGGCCTTGAACTCACAGAGATCTGCCTGCCTCAGCCCTGCTGGTACAGGGATTATAAGCATTTGCCATCATGCCTGGCTCAACAATTAAGCTTCAATGTCTATCATATAAAGATATAACACATATAATGATGAATGACGATGTTCCTAACATATAGTTACTGTAGTGTAGTTTTAAACATTGTTTTAGTATGTACTCCTATTAAGAAAAAACTTTCTCTAACACAGTCTTCTATGTTATACTCTCAGTGGTCTCACACACTTTACATTTATGGCCTCTCCTGATTATCTCAAGAGCCCTTCAGGTAACTGAGCTAGACCATCTATGTGTATATTTTGAGTACATTCTACACTGCGCATACAACAGTGAAGTCTTAATACATTTTTTCAGAATCTGTCCCCACAGCTAGGTGGCACATGTCTTTGTATTATGCAAGCTGCAGAATGCATAGTTGTGGGATATGGCAAAGGTGTGGTGTGGTATGGGGATACCTGAGGTTTGAAAAATGCTGACCCTAAGTCCCCATTACCTGGCAAAACTCTTGGCTGTAGGTCTTGTACTAGAAAGCTTCTTTGGTCTGGGTGCCCCTCCCTCGTCCTGTCACAGAGGAGCTGTAACTGGAGGTGGGGCTGATGGGACAAAAGCCACACCTCTGACTGTTTGTGACTGGGTTGCTTGACGATATCAGTGGCGTGGAGAAGAGTCAGTGAATGCTGGTTTCATCTGGGAGGTAGTTTGGGGGGAGGGATACAGAAACATCAGGGCTGGCGAGAGGCGCCTCCTCAGCACGTAAAGGTGCTCGGCTCAAAAGCCTGGAAACCAGAGTTGGAGCCCCAGAACCCAGGGCAAGGTGGGAAAGCAGCCCGTGTCCGTAAAGGAGTGGACGGCTGGAGACGTTTGAAGGCGAGCTGGGTGAAAGTGCATCCAGTCAGACCCGGGTGCCGGGTCGCTGTGCGCTGTGCACACCGCTCATTCCTGAGGCAGCCTGGGATTTCGGAGGGAGACAGGCCTTCCCTCCCTTTGCCAGTCCCACTTGTGGCCAGCACCTCCCTTTGCCCTGGATATTCCCAGTTTCCACCTAAGATTTTGTCGTGTTTTTATCCTTTTGAGATGGGGTCTCACAGATCCTAGAGTGGCCTCAAACTCCCTTTGTAGCTGAGGATGAGCTTGAACTTCTCTGCCTCCAGGTACTGGGATCCCAGGTGTGTTCCTCTAGGCCTGGTGTGTGCTGGGGATTGAGCCTAGAGCTTCATGGATGCTAGGCAAGCATCCTACCAATATGGCTATACCCTCAGCCCTAGGTATAACAGAATATTTATTTTTACTATCTTTAATTATGTGAGTGTGGGGCTGTGTATGGGTATGCACACTTGTGTGCAGGTACCCACAGAGGCAGGAACCATCAGATCTGGAGCTGGAGTTATAGACAGTTCTGAGCTACCCTACGTGGGTGCTAGGAACTCAGTGTATACTCTCAACCACTGAGCCACATCCCAAGCTAGCATCCTCCATCTTCCATCAGGTCCAAAGAGCAAGTGGTCCCTGTATTAAGCTGTGACTTTCATCTCTCCATTTGATATTTAGCATCTTGTTAGATTCTGACCCGTCATTACCATCTGTTTAGACCCTCCCCGCCCCCGCCCCCTTCCAACTCCACCCCCGGCTCCTGGTCCTGGCACAGCTTCTTCTAAATTAGATGGTACCACCAACACAGCGTGTATGTCTTCACCCTGTGATAATTAAAACATCCACAGGACAGGCTCCTGTTGTCCCTCTGAAGACGTGCCAGCCAGCAGCTGGGCTCCTGCAGCCCCAGAGGCCAGGGGAATCACACAGACTCAAGGGCCCGGAAGTCTGGGCTTTGGCACGTCCCGACCAACCAGGTTTGCAGGTTGCTTGGCTGTCAGAACCCCCTGCCACCTTCTGCTATGTCCAGCACAGTTTGGTTAGTCTACAGAAGTCCGTCCTGTGCCTCGTGAGCACCCCCTGGGGAATCCGTGTTGCTGATTCCATGACGGTCATTGACGTCACCGCTTTCTGCCCTGGCGTTTCCCTCCGTCCGTGGAAGCTGGGGCCTTCAACATTTTATGTCCCCCGGCCTTGCTGCTATTTCAGCGTCTTGAGACTCCTGAGGGCGTTGGGCAAACCTCTGCCAAGTGTTCCCAGGACCTTTCCCGAAGCCAGCCCCGACAGCGTTGGCAGGTGCCCAACAGTGCTACCTCCTTCCCTGGGTCCACTTGTCCCCCACTAGCCAGGGGGGACTGTCCTCTGCCCGGAAAGAAAGACTTCTCTTCTTGTTGGGAATTGTAGGAGACATGTCCGTTTTGATACCCTCGTCATTATTTTAAAAGTGTTCTGCTGCTGGGAATGTAACCATCCAGCCCTGAGCCTAAGCAGCCCACACCTGTCTTTTTGTGGTTTCTGCTCCTCCATCATTTCAAATGTCTCCTTCCTACAGCCACTTCTGTCCTACTGTTCATATCCTTTACCGATTTATTAAACATTACCTCACAGGATCATAGATCCTTCTGAGCTACCTCCTGTTTGGGGGAGATAAAGAGGTGGGCGGGAAACAGTGTCTGTCTGTCTGTCTGTCTGTCTGTCTGTCTGTCTCCAGCTCCCTTCTCTCCTCCCCTCATCCCCAGTGTTACCAGGATGAGCCCTGCCCCCTCCACTCTGCCCTTGCTCATGCTCCCGCAGGCTGCCCTTCCCCCACAGGCTGCCGGTCTCCTCACTCGCCTGCAGGCCTCAGCTGCTGGACCCCTCCAGTGCCCTGTGTGAATTCTCCCCTCACTCGGGATCTGACCGCTGGGTGTCTTCGCTTTCTTTTGTGACAGCCACTAGGAGGGCATGAGGTGGCTGGGCCTCTGGCACCCTGCTGCCCTGCAGCCCCTCCCTAAGCCTAGTGCCATCTTCTACTCCGATGCCCACCTCCACCTCCGCCTGGCCCTAAACATTGCCAGATCTACATATTTTCCCCCTCCCCTCTCCCTTCCTTTCTTCCTCCCCAGGCTGGTCTCAAACCCACTATGCAGCAAAGGGTGACCTTGAACTTGTGATTTTCCTGCCTCTGCCTGCTAGTGCTAGGGTTACAGGCGTGCACCACCATGCGCAGTTTATCAGATCCATGTGTTTTTGATGGTGACCTTCACAGATCAAAGCCAAATGACAGTGTCACCAAGACTCAGGCACGCGCACACACCACACACACACAGTCATCTAAGATCCTGCCGCCCAGCCCTGAGGTCTTCATCCTTCCCCGTGGTTTGTACTTAAAAAAAAAAAAAAAAGGGAGGCTAGCTCTTGGCAAGTTGTTAGAAATCAGGTATTATTTTGAATCCTTTATCTAATGTATAATTAGATATTATTATTATTATATTATTAAAATACTTAGGTGTATCTAGTCCTTATGCATACACTGTAAGGGCTGCTTTACAAATGAAGAAATTGCTACATTTCATTAGGAAGTATCAGGGCTGGGATTTGATCCCAGGCAGTTATAGATCCAGAGTCCTTGATTAAGCCCGTTCCAACCTGCTCTTCTGCCGCATACCCCTCTCCGCCTGCAAATGCTTGATAGATGAACCACCTCCTCAGTACCTCACCCACAACACTGACTTGGCCAGCTCCACCAGAGCCCTGGGGGCTTGACAGACCCCAGCCTCACTCTGGGTTCATCTGGTGAGGTGGGCAGCCCAAGCTAGGAGAGGTGGCAGCCGCCCAGCTCCTGTCTGCTTGCCACGGACTCCCCGGAGCCTTCCAACTGGTGATGTAGGCAGTCTGTGCTCATGGTCCTGGAATCCAGGCACCCTGGGAAGATTCTGGGCCCCTGTGGCCTCAAGGTCCCCTATGGGGGAAGGGAACGAGCCCTAGACAACAAACTAGGGTGAGTGCCGAGGACAGGACTAGGTGAGTGGGTCAGAAGGGCAGCGGCTGTGTGGGCAGACACAGGACGGACCGGGGAGCCTTTGACCGGCTCCAAAGCCTCTCCTGTTTTCTTTGGACAGTGGAGGGCACATGCTGAGAACTGGAGTGTGTCTTGGCAAGAGGATGGAGTGACAGAGCCTTCTGACCAGGGGAGGCCTGGCCCAGGGAGGCTGGCCTTTCACTGTTCTTAAAGGCACAGCATGTATGAGTGGGCTGCGTTTCCTGTTCCTCTGTCCCTCTAGAGAGAAGCCCTGGATCCACTGTAATAATACAGTATATATAATCATAATATCTAACAGGAAGGAAATGAAGCCGAGGCCAGGGCCTTAGGGCCCAGCTGTGGCCAGGTGGTGAGTGCTGGTGACGGTGACGTGTGCCTGGATGGTCCTTCCCTCCTCCTCCCTACATAATCTCAACTCTCCCACCTCTCCCAGGAGAACACGTGGGCATGCCTGGCGTCACACTTCCAAAGAGGAGGAGGCTGGGGCAGAACCGAGGCATCTCTGGTAGCAGGTTGGGGCATGGCTGGAGAATTCTAGTAGGATGGGCTCCTGGCCCCCCAAATCCAAACCATCAAGACCAAAAATGTCTGCAGTTTCTTCAGTGCCTGGCTTCATGACACAGCCTCTGTCACCTGGGGATGGGAGGGAGCCCTAGGAGGTCTGAGGGAGGTGAGTAGTGTTAGTGCCTGTGGGAAAGAGTTGGGACACTGAGCTGGGTATAAAAGTCAGGCCCGGAGCTCAGCTAAAGGTTGCTAGGTCTCTTAAATCCCCAGTCGGAGTTGCAGCCTCCCTGAGAATCCTGGGTTTGGGCCAAGAGGCTGACACCAGGACTAGGGCCTCTCCTGCTGGCCCTCCAGCTGTGTGCCCTGCCTGGGGCAATGGGGAAGGAGAACCTCGAGTGTTCTTAGGGGGTGGTTTTCCTGTCCCTGGAACAGTGCCTGGCGCTCCCCAGGAACTCAATACACATCCCAGGTGATTGACAGCACTGTGTCCCCGACCGAGGGAAACACCCCCATATGTAGTTATTACCCTGGTATGCCAACGAGGCTCTGAGAGGTCCGGTGGCCCAGTTAGGAAGTGATGAAACCAGGATCCACACTGGGCCCGGTCCCAGAGTGAGCAGAACCAGAAGAGTGGGGAGAGTCGGGGCCTCGAGGAGGACACATCTCAACATCTGGAAGGATTGGGAGGATCTCAGGAGGGGAGAAAGGACGGACTAGGGTCTACCCTCCCCCGCCATCTGCTTTGTCCAGGCTGAGCAGTGACCTCACAGGACTTTATTAACATCCTAATTGTATACAGCTGGCCTCACTCTGGCCCTAATGAGCTCATTATCCTCCCTACTTAAGGGGGCCATTGTAGCCTGGTCACCCTGGGGACAGCAGTGGCCTGGGAGTGCCCATCGCTTCCTGCCACCCCCCCAGCCAGGCTCGGCCCAGCTGCTCTCCCACAGTTTCTCTTCCTGTGCCTCTCTCTTTCCCTCTGGTCTTTTCTCTCTCTCTTCCTCTAACCCCGCCCCCATGTGCCAACATTGGGAAGACTCAGTTAACGTGCATTCCCAGAAACTGGCCAGACAGCTAGACTCTTGGTTAACAGCTGGCCACCAAAAAGTACCTGTGACCTAAGATGGGGCATCTGACGAGGAGCCTGAGCTGTTCCTTCCTGGGGC